ACCAGTGTTTCAGCAATGGAAAATTGCAACAATGAATGTTGAATTAAGAAATATGGACGATAATGATATAAAGAAAAAGAAGAAGGTCTGTAATCTTCATTTTAGTGATAACTATAAAAAAAGACCTTACTTCTTTTGTTATGATATACCTATGATAACTGAAAATATTATTAGTCCTGAAATACAGGGTATAGAAAATGATATTGATGAAAATCCCCAGAGTACTAAAACATTAAAAACCATTATTAAAAAGAAACATTGCAGCAGAAAGTCACTTCAAAATAGAATATATTATTTAGCAAAATTGAACAAAATATATAAGGCAGAATGCCAAGAATTTATAAAATTTAAGTGAAGATGTGTAAATGCCCGCACACCAATGATTTGATCGAAATTGTTGTGGAACATTCTACACATAAATTTTTTTGTATTTATTTGAGTTGTCTTAATAATGTATTGAATCATAAAACAGAAATTGTGAACGAGAGAGATAAGCTGCAGCAAGAAATTTTGTCATATGCAAGGAAGCATAAATGAAGTCGCCGAGAATTCAAATAATTTTTGGGTTGTATTGTGTTGTAAAATAAATTTGTTAATTCTGATTATATTTTTATATTTTATATATTTTTTTATATATATTTTATATATATATATATATATGTGAGTGTGTATGTCTGTGTGTGTGTATGTCAATGTGCGTCTGTGTGTGTGTGTAACATTTTTACAGTTGGCAATGATCGTATGACCTTCCTTGAGCAGGGATTTGAAAAAAATAACAAGCGCCTTTGGTATCCCTGCCAGGTACTTGCGATCATCTGAGCGCACAGAACGTCTGCTTGAACACCAGACCCGGAGTGAAGTGCGTTTGGGACCACAAGAATGGAAGGTGCATCAACATCAACAATTCAGTAGTGCCGATTCCATCATCCTCTGTTGCCCGGAAATGAAATTTTCCTATATTGGTCGCAAGTTCTTCGAGGATATGGAGATTTGCAGCGAGATCGAGGATTGCGCCATCTGCGTTTCCACAACCAGAAAATGTGTCTGGTGCAAGACGGGTCAGTTATAAAATCAATTCATCAAAATGTTAAATTAAATTTTCATTTTATTTTAGCGTGCGCCTATGATTCGTGCAAGGATTCAAAGGATCTCCCTATTTTCTCATGCCCGATAGATGCGCGACCGATGTGCGATAAGTTGCATACATGTAAAGCATGCAGCGCTCAAACTTACTATTGTAAGTATCCGAAGTTAGTTGATAATTATTAAGCAATTAATAATGTTTACTCAGGTAATGGTCTTATGAGACCGCTAAATGCTCGACGTATACTCCGCCAACTACCGGAAACAATCAGACCGATGTGATGGTTATAGATCAGGGACAGCAGTGTCCTCGATTCTGCTCAGAGTACAGCTCTTGGGGGACGCACTGCGAACGCTGCGTCCAAGTGTATTGGGGTTCGGACGGAGGACAATGCCAGCCGCACGAATGCAACGGACAAGCAACCCAATGCCATCCCGAGAGCGGGAGGTGCTAGTGCACCACCAAAGGTCGGAGATCACTGCGAGAAGTGCGACCTAGCGAATCACTGCTTCATAAGATCCCATAAACAAAGGATTCTGCTACTGAAAGTACTCATTCTTAGAAATCTCTGAAACTGAACGCACGTTTCAATCTAAATAAATTGTGCATTTACAGATGATCTCACAATCGATTACCAGTTCACGTTCAATCTGTCCAAGAAGGAGAACCCTCACTACACGCAGATCAACTGCCGGAATTCGGTATCCCCTCTGGATACAGATTTCGTTCTCGCAACCTCCCAAGCTCAATCTTTATCACATTGGACCGCATTCGTCAAATTCAAAATGCTGGAAACAAAGCAAGACTTGAAGCGGCAAACTGAATTTTTGCGGAAGCATTCGTAATATACGAATGGTTCCGAATTCATCCAATTCTTCTCCTTATGCTCCTCCCAAGCTCAAATAATTGATGAATGATTATACCAACCTAAGGAAAACAAAATAATTAGTTAAGTATATTATATTTATTAATTCTATCCGTCCTCTTCAGTACCGATCCTGTTTTAATCCGGTGGCAATCGCAAGCCCGACAACCGAAAGACCGTCTATTGAAAGCCCGACGTTCAAAATCCCGACTATATCGAAATCCCGACAATCTAAAACTTAATAAGATTATTAATTGTTGTTATTTTTTGTATAGAATATTTCTTATTTTTCAGTTTTATAATGAATAAGTCAACAAAAAAAAAATACAATAATAATTAATACTATTTATTGTTATTAAGAATAAATAACAACAATTAATAATCGGGCAAACGAGCCATCGACCTAGGTCTTAAAAATATTTTTTTCAGTATCCGTCGTACTTATTAAAATATAGTAGAATAATTTAAAAATGTTATTGTAGAAATTATAATAATAAAAAACACTGTCGGGATTTCGATTGTCGGGATTATGGTAGTCAGGATTTCGATATATTCGGGATTTCGATACAGTCGGGATTTTGATTGTCAGGATTATTGTAGTCGGGATTTCGATACACTCGGGATTTCGAACGACGGGATTTCAGTACACTCGGGATTTCGAACGTCGGGCTTTCATACGGTCTTTCGGTTGTCGGGCTTGCGAGTTTTAATCATATTTCCATAAAAAGCGAATCCATTTCTTATTAATAGTTAATAATAATAGTTCATTTGCACAATAATATAATTTGACATTATTTTTTGAACTACTGATAGATTATTAAAGAAACAACTAAAATTTTAATGTTCATCTGGTTGCCTACATTAGATTTTAAAGTATACTGAAATAATACCGATTATAATTAATACACTTGTGATAAGGTATATGTAAAAATAAACAAATATTTAGCTGTATTTGTGATTCGATGCAACCATATAAGTTTGGTTGCCTAACACCATATGTTTTTTTACCTAAATCTGAACTTCCCATTAATGAAAAGTATTATTCAATACACATTGTATAGCAATATCCACATTATCAATTTATTTATTTACTTTTTTGCTACGTAACTATGCTCTTTGGTAACAGGTGAATATATGAATAGTCGTTCCATGCGTGCCATTTAACATCTAATGAATGTTATATAATAAACGTAAATATAAATGTATGCGCTGAAAATGCGCTGATAGACGTGCAATGGAACAGACATTTCGGTTCATCACTTTCTTGTTGGCTCTCCGATAAGATAGTGAAGTGTTATTGTGTGTGTGTGTGTGTTGGTTATCCACAATCCGGAGGGTCGGCAAGTGATAATCTGTAATCTGAAGAGGGACCTTTACACTCGCCTATGTAAACGCGGAGATTACACGCGAACCCCAGGGGTTATCTGTACAGTTTTCTTCCTTCATTTTTTTTTGTACCCTGTCCGCCTCTCATGCTCTTCTTTTTCTTCAAATCGAAGAAGGCCACGGGATCACGCGCCAACCGAAACCGATTCGGCCTAGATAATAACGCATTCACCGTTTATCTATTCCTTCTTTCCATTGCAAATATTCTAGAATCTAGATAGTTTCTGGAAAAAGTTGTTGATTTCTTTATACGAATTCGGTTTGTTATTATAATATTTAACTTTATAAACTTAAAGAAATATTTACATGATTGGAAATTGAAAGTTTTCGATGTTTTGTGTTTAAAGACTTAAACATGCAACTGAATTTATAAATTATGAGAAATCAACTTATGAACTTTGCTTTTCACGATTCTGCAAAATGCATGTTTTAAAATCGCGTTATCAATGTGTTTATATTAAGATTTGTACATATTCGACTTTGTTTATATTTTGTCAATCATTTGCTTTTTCGTAATTTTAATCTCTAGATTAGATAATTTTTAATTTGCATCTCCTTAATTAGTTTATAACAAACTCAATATTTTTGGCTCTTCATCATGTAACATATTTAATATATATATACGTATATACATTTATTTTTACATACTCATTTAGCAACCTAACAATTATTTCCATTTTAGTAATTTTAATATATAAATAACTGATATTATTTATTTAGTTTATATTCACTTTCATTGGTGCTTTTGCGACAAGAGGTTGATTTTCTATGTAAAGTAGGACAATTTTCATGTTTCAGGCTAATTCATCAACTTATATTAAAAGGAGACAAATATTTTATCTTTTATCAAAATTTACAATTAGTTCATAATTTTATAAAAACTTGATTTTGTTGTTGTTTTGCATATACCAATTCATTGATTATATATAGACCGAATGTCTGTTTAATATAGCAAATTTTATTGTAAATTATTTACATTTTTTTTTTGTTTAAATTTTCAATGTTTTGTTATTTGTACTTTGTAAGACGAATTTCACATTTAACATCCTCCACTTTCCTAGATTTATCTTTGTGTAATAGTATATAAGTATTTTATGTCTTACACTAATTTAGAATCTTGTAATTGCTTTTCATGAACGAAAAATTTCCGTTTCGTTTTATACATTTGTTGTTTTTTTTTTTGGTTATCCGCCTATCCAAAACAATCACTATCTTCTCCTCGTGTTGCAATTGGTGTTGTACACTAATCTTCGATATGCATGACATTTCGAAGACCTCTAGATTAATTTTCTAATTTTGGAATCGAAGTCGGTCGGTCCCAACTCTGTCAATCGATTCTCTCTTTCTCGCATCTTCGTCTTCTTAACACTCCGGTGCTATGCATTTTTCACCCCTGGGAAAATTTATCGTGACATTAATTTATATCTGCTTTTTCTTTCCACTTTTTTTCTTCTTCTTATTTATTTTTTCCCTTTTCCGCATCTGTGTGTGTGTGAGAAACGTGCGAAGGAGAAAAGGATCGCGTTTCACGGCTCTCCTCGAAATCCCATCTGGTCCTTTTCTTGATCTCTCTCTTTTTCTCTTTACATCTCTTTGCTCCTCTTCCTCTCGATCATCATCACCACGACCACCATCATCATCATCAATATTCGATATCCGTAACTCGTTATCATATGTGGACCAGATAAAAACCGGTTTCTTCGTACGTTCCTCCGCGACTCTTGGCTTCCACGCATGGATCGATTCTCTTGACCGAACCCCCTCAACCCAATTACCCTTCTTCCTCTTTTTCTTCTTTTTCTACCTTCGCCTTTTTACACTCCTCTCGTTCTTATCTCTCTCTCTTTCTTTCGTTTTCTCGACATCATCTCTCCATCAAAATTACCATTCAGACCTGTCACCTGCCCTCCTTTGTGCCACCAAATTACCATCTCACTTGTCGAGGCGAAAAGTCGTAAAAATTCCCGATAAAACTATTAGTAAATCCTATCTGATATATGTCAAGATTTAATCCACAAATGAAATATTAAATTACTATAATCATTCATAACTTTCTTAATAAAATACACACATAAAATATAATTTTAATAAAAAATAATATTTAAGAAAATTAAGCAACGTGTGGGTGAATGAAAGTATAATTTGTTAACTCTGGATAAACAGTATAAACCTACACTTCAATATTTGTTTATGAAAGCGCGTTCAATTATTTTCAATTTGACGTAAGAATCATTAAATTACGTTCTGTAATAAGCGAGACACGACGTTTTTATTTTCATAAGAGCTGTAAAACTTTTTTATTGCTGCACAATTAATGTTATGATGATTAAGTTGCGTTTAGTAATTATGGACATAACTGCATTTAACTGCAAATAAAGTTAGATTTATTCATCAAAATAAACTTAAAAAACGGTTAAAACTTTAAAATGTTTGAGCCAATTTAGATTTATAAAAGTTTCCTTTATCTGTGTATCTGCTGCTATCCTCAACACTGTCATTGTCCATCGACTTGGCTGAAGGTCCATATGATGAACCTCTTTCATTTGACTGTCAATTTATGATGAACGGTGGCCCTATTGCTCACAAAGGGCCTAGCTTGACCAGGATTCGAACCGGCAACCACGGAATCGTGGGTAGGGCAAATTAACCATTCGACTATTACTCGCCCATTTCTTATTTCTAAATTAAATTATGAAAAAAAAACACTTATTTCTATTTTGATTTAATTAACGTTACGTTACGGTTATTTACTAAACTAAATAAATCACTAAATAAAGATATCTTGATTTATATGAATTGAAGAAATCTTAGTTAAATTTATCTAATTTCATAAAATTTTAAAAAATACAGTAAAACTTGTCGACCTGAGTCCTAAAATTTTTCTTTTATCAAAATTTTATTCATTATTTGTAATATTTTTTACTTGATATATAAATTACATTCTTCAGTATTAATGAAACTCAGGTTTTTTTAAAAAGCTGTTTTTTTAAGTATTATAATCAAAAAATTTGGTTGTGAATATTTGAATATTTCATGTGCTGTAATAGAATTTTTATTATTTAAAATTTATTCAAGTCTCGAATATTTAAGGAACGTAGCTGTAGAAATTTTCTTAAGTGAGATAAGGTGTTGAGATACATAAGCTATCTCGATCGTTTTATAATAAAACTGAGACAGTTCTACTATTTATGTAAATAATTTGACATCATTTATGTAACTAAGTAGGTTAGGTCATAACCATAATGAGATTGGCTTTTTTTTATCATAATAGTTAAGGAATAATTTAATTTATACTATATAAATCTAAGTAAATTTACCTTTTTACCCGTAAATTTTAATTTAATATTATTTTAAGTGTTTCTCAACCCTTTTGCTGCACGTTCAAATTGTCATTTCGCGACCCATTAAAATTAACCAATAGGTTAACCCAGAGTTTCCCAAACTATGTTAATAGGCTTTCCATGAAGACTAGTAATGAAATTATTATTAAATATATAATAAGGTGAACATTTCAGGATTTACGAAGTGTTCCGTTGCAAGAAAAGTTTGAAAAACCCTGAGTTAACTTATAATTTGACGCTATATCATTACCATATATTTCGGTATTCATTTTTTTGTTAAGAAAATTGATTCATTAGCAATAATTTAAGATTTTTTAAGTCAACATATTTTGTTCTTAAAGTTCATATAAAACATATTGCTTAATAAATCCAATCAAAAAATACCTTTATTATGTAACACAATTATATATTTACAATTAGCAACATTTTCAACTTTAATTGTACGAAAGTAATGACTTTCATTGTTCTACTTCATTTGTTCGACCTAATTTTAAATTAATTTATTTAAAAAGAAACCGTTCAGTTTTTATTTTAATTTAATAATATTTATTGCCAATTAAAATTTATCGGTGTAAGAAATTCGAGCAAAAATATCTTATAACAACAAAAAAAAAATCATCTAATTATTACATTTTTTTTTGTTGCATTATTATTATTACAGCAGCATTGCGTATTTGCAATTTCAATACGTTTTAATTGAATGAAAAGCGTGCCTTTCATTATTTTGCTTCACTTTACTTGATTTGTTCGACCTTAATCTAAATAAATTGAGAAAAATTTTATGAATATTTATTACCAATTAAAAATTGTATTGGTAAATATAAATAGATTCTAAAAATACATGTTATTATATAATATGTAAATAATAAACTCTCATTTATATCACATTTATTTTTCATCGACCTAAGTTTTTCTGCGAACTGAAACTGCAAATTAAAAAAATACAAATCAATTAAAGTTAATACAACAAGAATAAAGAAATTTAATTCATATTACAACAAAACGTAAATAATTTTATATTAACGAAACTACAGCGATACCTCTCATAGCCCGGTTTGGATTAGTCCGGTTTCACTTGTCAGATTTGAAATTTAAAAAAAAACTAAATATTAATTCAGCAAAATAAATTCTAAATAATTTTACACAAAATGTTTTAAACAGTGACATAGACGGAAATAATTACCTGGACTAAGCGAGGTATTGTTAAATATGAGATATATGGTTCTTCAAACTTTAATTAAACGATAAATTTAACAATTAATTTCTATTAACTTCACTTGATTAGTTCGACCTTAATCTAAATAAGTTTATATGAAAAAAAAAATGTATGATTATTTTAATTTAGTAATTATTTTGCATGCGGTAATTATTTGTTCAATTACATTGGATCATTAGGTTATGTATTCGTTGGAATCAGCGTGTCTTCATCGATTAGGCTATTAACCAAAAGTGATTTCTCTCTCGTTCGTATTTTCGTTGCTCTCTTGTTCATGTTGTTGTTGTTGGTTGTTATTGGTCTCTGTTTTCTCTTGTTTTTTTTGTCTCCTCTCTGAATGTGGCAACGGTAGAAGTGGTGTGTACAGCGATGAGGAGTGGAGTAGAGAAGAGAAGAGAAAAGAAGCACAGTTGGAGTGCAGGTTCAGTGACACCTTAGGCCGTTAAGGTCGCGCAAGGTGATTCTCGCGCGCGTCGTCGACGTCGTCGTCACCGCCGCCTCCTCCACCACCGCTACCGCCGCTGCTGCTGCTGCTGCCTTCGGACTCCGCGGCCTTCGAGACCGCGCCCCGCGCACGCACGCCAAGTGGACAAACTCACTTCCACGACCTGCTACTCACTTACGATCGCGTGATCACCGTTTAAACGCACCGAAAGATCTATACATACACTTACATGCATATACACATTTAAACGACCGTAGCTGCTACACCGATGCACCTGAACGAATAAAATCATCGCCATCTGATGGATAATTCAATTACCTACAAATTACGTTTGAAACCTAATCA